CGTACTTGAATGATTGGCAGTTAATCTTGTTGTATCTTTTACATCTTTCCTTGTCTTAATATTTATACTGGTCTGTGTACTCAAGCTTCTCAATCCAATGTTTTCCTCATTTGTTCTAACATTTACATTGAATTTCCAGCTATTTATTTTGTCTTCTCTGAATATTCGCAAGTTGACAACCCTGCCACGCAAGCAACGTTTAATTCCGAACCCGCCGCAATCCCGCAATCAATTCCCAACTCTACCCCTCAAGAAATACGAGCTTTGTGCAATTTAGGCGCATCCAGAACAGTTACTTTCATTGCATTTTGAACTCAATGTCTCTGGGAATACACACGTTTTTGAAATGGTTCATATCCTGTTTCGTGGTTTGTTTATTTGATTTGCTGCTTTACGGTTGAAGAAATAGTGNAGGTAGTGAAATAAAAGGGCAATCGAAGGAGCGGTTGGTTTGAAGTCGTCATGCTATTGAACTTTATGTGCATCTATTTAAGGATGTTAATCAGTTGTCTGCTAGCCGTAGACGAAAACACAACAAAAATACAGTGGCAAGTTACATGGTCGAAATGCGATTTCGTGTGCGAATTAGAACTCTAATAGTTCAAAGATACGTCTCCTAAAGACATACGAGTCGTTGCGTTCAAAGTGCATTCACGTATTGACTGCAGTCTTGATGTGCACATCAATAGTTGTAATACTTGTAATAATAATTGTGACTTTGCAACAAAATTATATTCTGATGTACAGTCACCATCAGATAGTTCGACACCCAAAGTAGCCAAAAAGTTCGCAACACGTCTGCTACAATTGGAATTAGGTTGTTGTCTTTCTATCTATTTGACGCTGACTGTACCTACCTACCACAGCGCCATCTGATGGTAATTTTCACGTCGTCTTTCATCAACTGTAGCCCATTAAAAAGCTACTTCAGCACACTCGTTTATGTCAAACATAAAAACATTAACATCAAGCGTTATAACCGATTTGTCGGTTTCATTACATTTAATATTAAATTTAACATTAAGATTAAAACCACAATGTCCCTCATTCTAACTCGTTTCAACGGAATCATTAAATATGTGTTACACTCCCAAGTTAGACTTCCTTGTGAGTCATCTGGTATTATAAATACGGTTTCAGTGCCCCGTATTTATAACCAAACCCCTTGCAAAAAGGATAAGAAAACAACGGAGAACAGAACTAGTACTAAAATATCAATACTTCCTAATGAAATCTCACGGAATCTTAACACCTGTATTCACAAACGATACTTGCTTAAGTAAAGCAGCAAATCGAACTCACAGCGTTGAATAGAGCTCTGTGATTGGTTCGAGTGCGACCCTGTGCGACCACGCGAACTGAGACCTCATAGTAATGTTTGTAAATACGGGCGTACACATAAAACAGAGAAAGCTAGATGAATATTATTTTTTTCACATTTCAAGATTGTGCTAGCTAAATGAAGAATTACTTTGAGACTAATTAAAATGAATCTAATTAAGAAGAGAGAGAAGAAGAGCCGGAAGACGTAGCGTGGGCAGGCCTCCCACTAGGTGGACCGACGATCTGGTGAAGGTCGCGGGAGGTGTCTGGATGCTAGCGGCGCAGGATCGGTCTTCGTGGAAATCCTTGGGAGAGGCCTTGTCCAGCAGTGGACGTCTTTCGACTGAAACGAATGATCATTATTTTGTGTTAACTTTCTTTCCATTATTTTAAAATAATTTTGGTATCATTTTTTTTAGTAATTTTCCTAACTCTAATTTTCTTGACCCACTAACCTTTAATGTACTTTGAATTCTAATAAGTACACAATACGAATAAAAGAGGGACTATTCTGGAAAAATATTTTCATTCAATCGCACCATCCTTTTGCTCATAGTGGCTTGCATGTTGTGAAAGAAACAGGTAGAGTCGATATCGAAATTGTGCTGAGTAGACCCCCAAATCCCCCAATACCCGTTTACTTTAGGGTTGTCTGTCTACCCCGAAGCGGGTCGTCGGATATCGTTATTATGCCGTGCCCTGTCGATATTCGAGGGAATGTGGGTTTGCATGTTAATCCTTTGTTTATTCAGGAACAACGCTGTTGCACTTAGCAACGGTAACTGTATCACTAGGGATGGCGAGTGACTCTAATTTTGAAATGGAATCGAAGATAAACGATTCAGAATTTATCGAAGACAGACACAATAATTATGATAAAGCTCGCTCTTACCTGAATTCAACCTGATTCATTAAAATTTGAGAATTTTTGAGAAAAAAAAACATATTCAGTAACTATATTTCTTACTTTTAGATTTGAATTGCGTTATTTTATTTTAGAAAAATAATATATTTTTCATATTGAATTGATGTTACTACATAGAGGCAGAAACGCAAATTCACTAGATGTTTATATGCAGATTAGGGAAACGTTTCATGAAAGAAAGCGGCAGGAAAATATCGAATCTCGATTGTTTGACGTCGATATTTTTTTAAAGATCGATATCCATTTATTCGGTCTTCCCTAATAATATTGGGGTAGGGAAATTTAAGATAACGATGTAGTTACTTCTAATGTGTGCGTATATGGTTTTCACACCTCGTAACGGGGGTATTACACGCTTCGATGTTTTTGAGGAAAGTTGTTTGGTTTTTAATTTTTATATCTACAGTCTACAGATTGCCTGTTAAAAAGGCAGATTCATTTTGTGTATTTCAATCATGAAATTAATTAGCAATAAATTCAATTGAAGTGCTTGTATTGTCAAAATAACAGCTTTTTAAAGTGGATAATAAAGTTGTTACAACAATAACATGTTATTTTTATTTGTATATTTATTTATTCCGGCAAATCTACACACGTTTGACCAACATTGGAACTTTGGGAGTATAAGACAAATCTTCCCTTTTGCCTCTGGTAAATTAGAAGGCGCTGGACGCAGGCCGCTACCAATCGATCAAATGGAAATCATTGGGGGAGGCCTATGTTTATTAGTGGACGTCATATGGCTGAAATGATGATGATGATGATGAAATTAGAGATGGTCGTCTTCCTTCAGTGGAGACTAAATGACCTGATGATAACGAATATATAAAATAGCTGAACCGATTTGGACAGAACTCAGACTGATGGTAAAAGGACCAAATGAACAAAGCCTTTGACAGACAAAAATACTGCGGGCAGACTGTAAGTAAGAAATAAAAGCACGTCTACAAAAAAGGTCGACGTATTCCACTTTGAGCACCCACCCAAATAGCACCTGCATGAATAGCACCTGGCCTAATTCCACTTAGAGCACCTACAACAGCAGCCTAGTGCTAGCTGCTAATTTTGTTAGGCAAGAGCACCTGCCCAAAATATCGATAGGTGCTATTCGTGCAGGTGCTATTTGGGCGGGTGCTCAAGTGGAATACGTCAAAAGGTCTTACAGAAACAGATTTTCAATAGTCCTTTACAGTAATTCCTAGTTTTACTTACAAAATCATGCTCTCATCTTATCTAGGAGGGACCCCAATATGAAACCCTCGATCCCTCCATTATCTCTCCCGCATGATACGTCACAATAGTGTCGTATCACGTTATCAAATGTCACAATCAACAATGGATGCGGGGTGCTATTGTTATATTACTGTTATTATAACACTATTAATTTGTTTGGAAGACGAGAGGTAGAGGTCACTGGGTAATCTGATATCGATTCATTAAAGTCTCTTATTTGTAATTAGGCTCTTGATAGGCGCTTTTCCACTTCATATTTGGTGTGAATACGCTCTTACATTTTACAGGAAAGAGTTATTTTTATAATTATAACTTTACATTTACAAGTAATTTCAGTAATTACATAAGTGTTTTATAATAAAACTCTCTATTATGTCAAACCGTATATTAATTTATTTCTACCTGTTGTATCATAATACAGTTTATAATAATTTATGCTATTTTCCAGTATTACTTCATCTTCTTAACAATTTAGGTAATAGTAAAATATAAACTTACTTAAAAATATCTTACAAATCTTATATCTTACACAATAGGAATGAAACCAGTAAATTACATTAATCTAAATTGAAGTAAATCAATCTAAATATCAAAGCTTTGGTTAGTTTATTCCTTTGCTTATTTTATCAATTATTTTAAATACATATTTTATTGGCTGTATCTTTGACTAGAAGAAAATTATTAAAAACAAAATCCTTACATTTTTGACAAACAATATTCTTGTATCAGATGATAATTACGATTTTCAATAAAAAATTATCCGAATTAAAGTAACAATAAAGTATTAAAGTGTATAATAACATTATTTATCAGTAAAATAATGTTACTCTGCGAAATTGGTTATTATTATTTTTACACGATTGATAAAGGTTTTGAATGTGACAGTCTATGAATATGACAATGTTCATAATTATGTTCCCTCATAATGTCTTATTTATAACATACATAATACAAATTATAATTATGCGTCAATGTCACGTAAAAAATTAAATACAAATTGTACACTAGCTGACAGAAATCCAGAGTTTTTATTGTTTTAAACATATTTTATGTACTTAATAAAATAATAAATATAAACTATTGTGGTTTTTAACACGTATTATGTTAATTTAAAAAGGTCATTGTAATTATGTGCTTCATTTATTAAAAATATTAATAATTAAATTAATTGTACCTACAATAAGGTACGATTACTATAAAGTACAGTTACAGTATTGGCTGAACTTAATCCTCCACTAAACAGTTAGAAATCAGATTTGTTATCATTAATGAAAATGATAAAAACCCTTTTAATACCATTACACTGAAAAAAGAAATCATTGATATTTATTTAATTACAAAATATTATTTAATTTATTTAATTAAAAAAAAAAAAAAATACAATAAATTATTATTTGTGGAGTAATAATACTAATTTGGTTGGCTGCTTTACTTTAAAGTGTAAAATAACAAGGTCTTTTATTCTTTTTATTATTTCAAAAGAATAAAGACACTTATTAATAATTTCATAAATTATGTGCTAATTTTACTGAATTGCATTTCACGGAAACAACGTATTAATTTTAATTAAAAAATTAGTAGCTTTTCCAATCAGTAGGTGCATGCCAACGTTACAAAACTTAGATTTTTAATTCATATTTTATACAAAGATATAAACAATTATAATGACTTATGTGGAAACATTTAGTACCCCAAAATATACTAATACATGTTTTGAACAACTTAATAATATATAGTTATCTAAAATTGTATAGATTTGGATATACAACTCCGAAACTATGATACAACTCATAATATCACAACACACAACAGTATCACAAATAAAAAAACTAATATTGCTTGTCATTAACCTAATTACCTCTAATATTGATATGAAATACAATTGGTACGATTATACATTGATTAATAAAGCTATACTTAATTGTATACCTAATTAAGATCGTTTACACTTCCAAAATCTTTTGTTCATATTAATTAATTAAGCAATGGTATTGTTTGGAATCTACAATACCTTGTTTTGAAATTTTACGTCCAATTAGTAAAATTTTGACTAGACTTGAGGCGAATTGATTCTATCAAATGTAAACGAAGCCAAAAATGCATTAGCTTGAGCAAATTATATCCTTAAATCTAAATTGTAATCTTAACTTTTCGACGAAAAGATGTTGAGGAATTTCGTCTTGATGTTAAGGAGGGTTGTGAAGGACCGCTTGACCTTCTTCTTGGGGGTCGTTTCGGCCCTCAAGAAGGGCTCCGAATAAGACTTCTGCAGTGGAGGGCTGTAGAACACGTTCTCAGACACCTCAGATGGCTCAGAATCCTTCGGCAACTGGTATTTATACTCCTTAACGACCTTCTCCTCGTTGGGGTCATATCTGTACAACACAGAGTACGTCCTTTTGACCTTCTTGGGAACCTTTGCGGTCACACCGGCTGTCCTTTCGCTCTTGCACCTCTTCACCTTATTCCTGCCGTAGTAATCCTGATAATTGTCGGCATCGACGTAGATTATCCTCTTCCCCAAAGCCTGCTCACGCTCCTTCTTCAGACTTTTCCACGAAGCGATGACCGATTCCCTCCGGAACGTCTTGTTAGGGTTGTGGCGGCTGATGCAGAACTGCTCATCCTGGATGTTGGAGGTGTCCTTCAAAGGAGACCCTCGAGGACTCGGGCTGTAGTCGATCTCGTAGTCGTCTCTCGACACCTGGAACGAGAGAACAAACGATCAATATCAAAGATTTCGTAAACAGTGAGATATCCCAGATTATTTTAAGTGGCTGTAAATCTATTATAAATAGTTCGCGGCTTTGTGGCAGGGCTGACGGCTGTCCCTTTCTGTCACAGGGTGCATTAGCAGCCGTCCCTCTCTAGTTCGTCATCCGAGCCCTTCGTGGTGCCCAGATGTCTGACGCCACCTGTCGAGGCGGCCATATGTTCCACTACTTGGCAGGGCAAGACTGGGAGTTATAACTATAACCGTGAACTGTCAAGGAAGTTTATGTAGAATAAGAATAATAGTTAACTGTACTTTTTTGATCAAGGTTTTCTCGGAAAATTAGAGTTCTGCCGTTTAATAATCTTGTTTGTATCTGTCGTGTTTATTTTCTTTACCATCGGCGAGCGTCCGGGCCAATTAATTCTCTTTGAGCATTTTATATGCGCACTCGAGTTTTAATTTCTAAAAGTTCTCACGTATTATCTGATACAAAATTTATGCACTCCTGATAATGAGCGTATCATAAACAAGTCAGAGATAAGGGCCGCATTATACGTAATTTATATATTCCATCTTTTGAAAAGGGAGGTGTTTTGTTTATAAATCTTTTTGAAGTACCAAAAGCTCTCGGGTTTAACGACTTTCGTCTTGCGCAACGGTTATATCGTTACTGCTCGCTCATATTGTGCAATATTTTTATGTTTTTCTTAAAATTCCACAATGCCAGTCCAGCACTGGTCAGATAATAGGTCACACAGAAATAGTGCGTTTATTATTGGAATTCATTAGAACATGGTGTGGCGCGTCAAACGTTAGAACTCTATGGATATTACCTATTCAGGTGTAGTTAATTATTTAATTCTGTCGTTTTCGAAAATATAAAGCTTAAATTCTTGNGACTAGACGCAGACCACCGATTTTTAGTTGGCCAATAGTTGTGCTGATTTTAAATTGTATGAAGAATCGACCAAATCAAATCGGTGTAATGTGCGCACTTCCATACATGATGTCCATACTGATCAACTGCCCGACTATACTATAGGCCGACGAAAAATCGATGGTCTGCGCCTAGGCTAAATTCTTATCTTGTTATTTGTAAGATTCAGTAAAACCTTTTTTTTAAGAAAATGAAGTATGCGTACATTGAGATGAGACTTAAAATGCTTGTCAGTTGTCAGCATTAATTACCTTGGCTGTATGTTTTTTCTAAATTAAACCCATTCTAAAAATATTCTAACTCCAAAGCGTTTCTATTTTTAAAACAAAACTAATAATAAATCTTCATTTGAATTCTTGAAACCCAAACTGTTACACCTTGGAAAGAATATTTCAGTGACACGGCGAATCTGTTAGTTTGTTTTGACAGCTCGATTGTGTAACGTTATTTTTTAATGTGTTCGCGTTAAAAAAGCGCACTGCGAATCCGGGTCGACAAAAATGGGTCATCCGAAATAGACTTAGTTAACACGGTCTAATTAAAATTGTGAATTTGAATCTGCAAAACATTGCTAACCTTGTGCTTTTTTTTCAGGTAATTTACTTTGCCGGTTGGTCTTGGTGAGTCCATACTATTCTCACGATGCGCCCGCTCCGTGTCCTATTTCAGACCACCATGTTAGGGTTGCCAAGTTAAAAACACAAAAGCCAGACTCTGTGCTTCATTTGGTAGGACATTTTACCCAAAAAGCCGGACATACCTTTTTTTAATAGCTAGTGGTTTTTAATAGGGGGTGCGATTAGTGAGAACTATCATCTTCGAATTCTCTCTCGACTTTCGATTGGCACGCCACGCGCCAGCCACATAAAAAGCCTAACAAAAGCCGGACAGGCCGGACAAGACAATATTTGGCCTTACAAGTCCGTAAAAAGTCAACCATGGCAACCCTACACCATGTTGTAACACTAAGATGCGTATAGTATTTCTGTCTCGATGCATACTTTGCGTTACTCCTGGACGTTATTATAGAATGAAGGTGATAACAACGGTTAAATTTGTCGCGGCTATTTCGGACAATACCTAGAAGTCTCAATGCAATTCTATTATGGTTTAACGATAGTTTACGTGACGAAAGTATACCGCGACCTACAGATGGGGTAAGGTCAGAAATGCTAACATTAATTATGATATTGATTTTTACCTAGCTTTTAAAGAGAACTGTCTTTCATTGAGGCAAAGTTTATTTTCGATTGTATTGCTTAGTTTACCGTTAGCTCATAATGTGCGAGACCCGCGCAAAAAATATTACTTACTCAGTCACACAGTTACTGAGTGGCACACTTTTTAAAATGAATTTACAGCTATGGCATTAGTCCACACGTCCTGCTCAGTTCCGAAGTAATTAATTATAATGGTTAGACTAGAAGTTTCCCTTCACACAGGAAATTTTATTTTACAAAAGAAAGTACTAGAAGGGTTGACTTTGGAGCGAAAAAGAGCTCTATAAAAGTCAGCGAGGTTAAATAAATAAATAACGTGTTTATTTATATCAGCTGTCAATCGATTGTCTATACCCAATTCAAATATAGCGTTCTATTTAGGCATGTGACATTCGGTCCGGAGGTTGATAACCGATTGGAAATCTGTGACAATTAAAAACCGTTTATTTATAAACTCTACGTATGGTTAGTGAACGCGACCTTTGTGGTGACTCACATTATCCCACGCGAATTTTTTCCTAACTTCTCAGTTTTTTCTCAATGAGTAATCTTTTTTTTAATGTATTGCACATCGCTATATTTTTTTCGGGTAATGAACTGTGACGTGTTGTTCTAAAGTTCAATTTTGATGAAATTTTAAGTTAACATTTAATTAAGAATTTAATAAAGTTCGCGATGTCGCTACTGTGTTATTTTTGGGTAAATGTTATGTCACTTTAATAACAGCTGACAGCATCACAATAAAAGACGGTAACTCCTGTTTTAAAAACACTGACCCACATTCGTAATACCTCAACACCGTAAACATATCAAATTATGTGTTTTAATATAAAACATCGTGAATCTCACACACCGTACAAACGGTGATGAATAAGGTACGATTTAAAAGACACAATTTCGCAACTTGACAAATTGATGTTAATGTGAGCATTTACAATATAAATGTCAAAATTTTTCTTTCGACGACATTGTAAATATGGCGGGGAAGGGTGGCATTCATCACTGTAGAGAAAGCAGTCTGTGAATTATGTTTTTGATTCATGCGATTTGTAAATATTTCTCATTTCTACTATTTAATGATTATGCGGAAACATATAATGAAGTTAAAAAATTACTGATGTTTTTTAAAAGACTCTACACGACTAGTTCTAAATATAAATTATAACAGCTCTTTAAAATTGAATAATCCATCTGAAGCTGTACCGTTTATAATCTGTTTCGGTTTTAATACGTCATTTGTCTTTATCAGATGCCGGTCGGAGTCGGCTTTCGAAATAAACCGGAATGACAGACGCCTGTTGCAACATCGGACGTGTCGTGAACTTGGTTACCTCATCTCTTGACTTTTTAACGCACTCCAAAAAGTTTTGAACAGTTTAAATTTCGAATTTTCGAACAAAAAGGGCATGAAACCTTTTTTGACGGTTTGGAACTAAAATGAATCGGTTAGCAACGGGTACGGAAAGAATTGACGCCATTGATCGAACGTTTTTTTCGTAATTTAAACATAGAAGCAGTGATTGAAATTTACATAGATTCAAAGCAGTTCTTTGTCGATATAAACAGCAAAAGCTTTTGTTTAGTTAATGCATGTAACTGTAAATAACCTTTTAACAGTAAATATCATTTTGTGCTTAAGACGAGTAAAAATTTTAATAGATTTTTTAAAGGAAGTAACCTCCTTTCTTTGAATATGTTTAAAAGCAATTTAAATCTACATTGAGCAACATTAAATAAACCAATTTGAAATCTGTAATCCCTTTATACGCCTGTCATTATGTGGTGAAAGTACGACATCGCGTCAAACCGGTACGCGAATATGACAAGTTGTGAAACCGGTAAATCATCAAATCGATATACCATTATCGGTTTTTTAAAAGATAAGCTGACACTTTCTAATTTTTTTTCTTAACCAAATACAATATTCGAAGTTAAATTTTTAAATCAAGATTTTAACATTTTATTGAATCAATAGTTTTTAATAATGATATGCAGAAAAAATGCATTATGCTGATACAAGGTTGCAATTAGAACCTCTTGCACAATATCTATCTAGTGACCTTTTGATTAGTCGCATTAAAGCAGGCTTAGCTTAGTTAATATCTATCGTGACTCTCAGTCGGTTACGAAATAAAATTCTCCTACGACTTCTTATAAGGAAGGTATTACATGTAAGTCTTAACCGTGAATCGGAACGCAATGTCAAGAGCTTTACCACAAAAAGAACGTTCCATATTCAAACAGCACGCACGCGCCACAGTTCAATGACAGCGGCCATAGACAAGTCACTTGCCTTTTAAGCGTATTACTGGCCATGCACTTTGCGTAACACTGTGACCATATTAAATGGGTGGGATTGGTTTGTTTATGACGTTTCTCACGCCTATTTTCTTAATCTGTATTTTAATTATGTAGTTGCTCGTATTATTTATGTTTGGAACGAACAATGGCCCTTGTTTTTGATTAATGAGTTCATTTAAATTTCAAACTTCTAGCACTGGCCATTTATACAAACTATAAAAAAAGTTTAAATTTGAAATTCAAAAAAGGAACCTACCACGCTCTCCCAACTGCCACCAAGGATGGACCGGTCCAACATATTGAATCTTGCACTGCACAACACAAGTCACAAATTGCAAATCAAAGATCGCGTAGCGTATCGTAACACGTTGTCACTCTGTAGCGTTCGGAATTGGCACGGTTGTCTTCCCGGGCGTTCCTGCACGACTGAAGCTTACGTGATTTCAGCTTTATATTTATAGGATGGCAAAGAGGGCGCTTGAGGAAGCTCACCTCTTCCACTTAGCAGTATTTTGAGGGGCGCGTAACATAGTTCGGGGAACACCGTCTAAAACGGTCTAGCGTGTTCAGCTTAATTCTCGTTTCGGTTTCGTGTTTTGTTTGACCATTTAGGCGTTTCAGGCCATTAGGCACACCTATTCACTTGAAAAGCAGTAACAAGGAATCTCGAAACTGACATAATGTATGGAGCTCACTAGCAACATACTTAGGTACCTATTGAGGTTTTTTAAATATTACTGCCATGGCAGTTTAATTATGGCTATAGTATGAGTACATGCTCGTTAGGGTAAGCTTTATTCGGGACGTGTAGTAAGTGCCTGAAAAAGGCCTTTATACTAGTTTGAATTTAAATTAATCATTGTCAATGAAGAGATATGAGTATAGAAAATAGAATTAACTGAGAGAGTTTGAGATATAACATTAATTTCTTTACAAAAACTATTGGCCAGGTAGTCAGATGGTGAAAAGGTGTCATTCTTTCTTTCTTTCAATAGAGTATTAGTGACCCAGATAATATCAATGAGTCTAATGCCATAATCCACGGTCCTGAACATCAAGAGCAATGCGACGCGTACGCAGTTAGTAAGTACGCAGTTACGCACAAGATTCCATCTTAGTGGTCGTCAATCTTGCATCTAGAAAGTGTACTTATAACTAGTAATTGGTATAATCGACAGCTCATAAGACTACACATTTTTGTTGTAAAATAGCCCCTAATACCTAGTACATAAGATGCAATGATTAGTATGATGCGCCGCGCCGTCTTAAATCGACAGCCGTGAAATGATAGTGGTTCGTTTCGAAATGACGTATGATTTGGTTAATTTATATTTAATTTGAAACTGAGTTTGACTTTGACCTCATTTTCGGCAAGCGGGACAATTTAGGCGGTCTTATCGCTAGGAAGCTATCTCTTCCAGACTTAGAGAGAGGATAAACGATAGGTGAAAATTTTATTGTAGACAATGCCATTGTTTTTTTGGGGTTTACGTTAATAAATTATGAAATTAAGGCGCATTAAAAGACCGGAAGAAATATTTGACGATATTTTGTAACAATTTTCATAGTAAACTAAAAATGAGGCATCAAAATTAATCAATTTCATAATTACTCCATTAAATTGCCGTCCATGGTGTTAATTTGCAACTTTTCATTCCATTAACCTTACCAATGACCGCAAATTTTACAGCTTTTACAAAAGAGAGCTTATCCATTCGCTTTTTTACATCTTTGTGCTATTTTGGGCTATTTTAGAACCATTATTCGACCATAACTGCTGAAGATACTCAGCAGAATAGTCCGTGAATCAATCTATGGTACATCAAAAGGTGCGTGAGTCGTATATGATTCAGGTATAAATATACACTGGGAAGCGTTTGCGGAGTTCACTAGAAACTTGTATATAGGTGAGATAACTTCCAGTTAAACTGTTGTTTAACTTTAAACTTGTGCGGAATTATGGATACCTGATACAGGAGATTAATAGTGCTTCAGTTTTAGTTAAAACACTGTTTAAAGTACTCGTAATATTACAGGGGATAATGTTAGTCATAACACAGTTTTAAACACTGATTCTTTCTTTCATAAAAGTGAAATGAACATTGATTAACTAACTAACAAATCATTTATTACCTAGAAAATTAATATTGATTTTAACCATTCAATAGCTAGAACTATATGAAACTGTTTTTAATTTCAAGAAATAATGGTAAAGAGGAAAAGTTTACAGGGACAGCAAGTAATAAGGAAGGATGAAGACAAGAAATCTAAAATCCCAAAGAGATTAGGTAAATCCCATAAACACTAGGTAGTTCATTAAATTCTGTGTTTTTATTATTTGTTCCAGTAATCATTTAATTGCTTTATGGTTGCACAAAATATTGGCATAATAATTTTCCCCTTAATAACAGGTTATACGGAAATAAGAATCCTAAGAAATTCGACCATTCTTGATCGCAGTGTATCATCCCCTTTGTGCCTTCTCTTCTGAGAAAACTGGTCTTTATTTTAATGATTTTGTTTAAAATCCTATAAATTTATGTTTTAATACCCAATTACCGATTAAAATTAATTTAATCACAGATTTTTAAATCTATTTCTATGTGTAGATTCTTGTTTATCTTCAGACTCTGGTAGAATTTATGAGTCAGAGATTATGCCAATGAGATTTAGGTACGAATCCTGGGTATATTAAAAAATCGTAATTTTTTCACATGTTTGTTATAGAACTAATATCATTTTTACAATACTTCGTCGTATGCAAACCAACAAGTTTAAACTACACGTTTTACAACCTCCTTAATGTTGTTTAGTCGTTAAGTGCAACTCGAATCCAAGCGGATGCACTCACTGCATTGACGTCATGCGCGAACGCAGCGTTTGTTGCAACAACGGCCTCTTCAACTGCCTTACCACCGTCATCTTAAGGTCTAAAATGTTGTACAATTTCTTGATCGTAAATAACCTCAAATTTCACGTCCCCATAATTTGGATCGCCAAGAAGTAGGACTCAAAAGACCAGATCGTTACAAGGACTTATGCTGGTACACAAATAGTTTGGTTTAATAATAACTCCAAATGGTCTATTAAAGTATTGGACTGTGTCTTTGACCGCGAAGTTGGGGCGATAAATTGATTCACAGTATACACAAGCGTTCTATATTTACTCGCGTAACTAAAATCAAAGAATGTGTAAAGGATTCACACTGATCTAGTTTTGGAGTATTGTGTAACGTCTTTCGTAACAATACTGACTGCTTTAATTTATCACTCAATGAGAAATGCTGAAGTGTGGTCCACTTTCAATTTCTTTATCTTTAAATCATAACTATGGTCGCTGGGATTAGGCGTTTTACAGACTGACATAATTTTAAGGGACACTGATTTGTAATTGCAATCCAATAGCAAATTAATACTCATACTCATTTACTGTATATTATTTCATGTAGTCTCATTTACTGCATCTCATTTACTCCGAGTTCAAGAAATTTTGACTTTGACTTACCAACTGTGAGCATACTTGTCCATTTGTAACACCAACTTTAGATCAAGGGTTACCTCAAAGTCAAGGTGGAAAGTCAAAAGTGACATTCGCAAAACCCAACGGAATTTCTCCGAAAACCGAATTCGGCGCTCATTCGTTAAATTGTTGCCTCTAGTTGTTCACCGATATTTTCGGCTTTCGCATAGTTTTTGTTTGTTGACTCAATTATGTTCGTACGCTAGAGTGAACAGAAAGTTTGCATTCAAATATTTCGTGTGGACCAGATGTTACGAACGTGATGCCCTGTGTGTGGAACTGTGGTTACTTCTGCAAAGAGGGAAACTTGTTTATTGATTTTTACTTCGGCGTTCAGAAAATATTTGAGCTTCAATTTAAAATTTCCTCGTCTGGTTACCGTGTTCATATAAACGTTGGTGATTGTCTCATCATCAAATTTTATAGTTTTTTGATGGAACCCTAAAAGTTACGGACTATCTCCCAAAACGATACTATGATTTATTGACTTATCATGTCGTCAGCTAGTCGTGACGCCTGTCTTTCCTTGACAGAGGTGATCATACTGATAGTACTGATCATAATCTTGTAACGTGAACCGTAGTGGCTGACAGTAGTCAAAGATAATGTTTGCTACTGTCATTACTATACTTTTCTAGGCTTGCGAAATATCACCTACTGATGATAGGTTAGGTAGGTGTATTTCTCCAACTGTAAAATGTGACAGAGCGGTCACATTGACACCCTTACGAAGGTAGATGGTAATGGCTGAATAAAAATCCCTGAGACCCAACGTATAACAGCAGTCATCATCATAATCATTTCAGTCATAGGACGTCCACTACTGAACTTAGGCCTCCCCCAATGATTCCCATATTGGCCAGTTGGTAGCGGCCTGCATCCAGCGCCTTCCTGCTACCTTTATGAAGTCTCGGTCCGCAACAACAGCATAGTGGACTGCCCATTATCTGAATGTTGGTTACTAAGGCCTCTCTAGACCTACTGTACTAAGTACTAATTAGTGTTGTGGCTGAATTCATGTCCATTCATCGGTCTTCACAAATTGTTTGTAATTTTCGCGCACGACAGTTGGCCTGTTGTCAACGAAAATGATGTAACCAACAAAAACAATGCTTTTCGCGGGACATCGCCGAGAGGTGTGTAAACCTCGATTTGTTTTGATTTTTGTGTCATTCACATAATCGAATGGGCGTGGCTTGGCGTTGGCATTGAAAATAACGTCATGTTACAACTTAGAAATTGGAGGAGAAAGATGACCGTAGTGTGAGGCTTCAAACTACAACTTAGGTTGTGTTGTAAATTCTGCAAATATTAGTGTGATTTACATCAGAATTTTATCGTCATGGGGATGGGTCTAGCCATGTCATACCACCACTTTTAGTTAAATGCTTAGTTTGAGATTAGGTGGCTCAATATCAATACCTAGATCGATTTTAACATTATGATTTTATGATCTAAAATTACTAGCTTACTGATTTATGTCCGAGCTACTCCTAAATATGACTGCAAATGGATCGAATTTTACTGCATCGTGTCACTTTTACAACAACCATAAACAAGCCACAAAAACTCCGTTGTCTATGACACGCGAGCAATTAGAGTAATCATAAAGAACTGTGATTTACGCTTTTGTTAAATAATCCTTGTTTATATCTTTTGGGCCTGCTCCAATTTCTTGCGAGTTACCTAATTCTTGATTTAGGGTTGTATTGTCCTTAGGATACCCCCTGTTTTCGTCTGTGATAGGTACTAAAGACAGCACATCAAGGTAAATACTGAAGCATGTTATGTAGGTGTCACAAAATGAAGAGTCCTATGTCTTATGCTATCGTGAGTATAAGAAGGTACTGTTTTAGGTACTTACATTTAAATCAAAATCTTTTTCGCATTATTACATTTTAGAAATTATAATACGAGTA